TAATTCTTCGTAAACTTTATATTCACCCGAGTGAAAGGTGGGTATGGTCGTCACTGCCTCTCGCGACATATTTACGACCAAAACTAGTCGATAACTGATGGGTCCGAAACGATGATTTTGTAATATTTCCTCGATGCGATCCCTATATTGCAAGATTACGCGTGGATCGGTAAAACGCGTTAGGTCTATCCGATGAGTTTCGTGATCCGTATCCGTGCGAATACAACGAAATCCAGATTGACCGTTTGGGGGTTCCAATTCGCGTTCTGCCCTTTGCTGCATTTCACCACTCGGATTTAAAGCTTGTTGCTGTTTTCGCTGCTTTCGTTTTTCGCGTTTCTCGCGTTGCCTCTGCTCGTCTTCCCGGTCCTCGAGTTCCCACTGCTGCTTTCGTTTTTCGCGTTTCTCGCGTTGCCTCTTCTCGTCTTCCCGGTCCTCGAGTTCCCACTGCTGCTTGCGTTTTTCGCGTTTCTCGCGTTGCCTCTTCTCGTCTTCCCGGTCCTCGAGTTCCCACTGCTGCTTGCGTTTTTCGCGTTCCTCGCGTCTTCTCTGCTCGCGTTCCTCGCGTCTTCTCTGCTCGCGTTCCTCGCGCCTCCTCTGCTCGCGTTCCTCGCGCCTCCTCTGCTGCTCGCGTTCCTCGCGTCTTCTCTGCTCGCGTTCCTCGCGTCTTCTCTGCTCGCGTTCCTCGCGTCTTCTCTGCTCGCGTTCCTCGCGCCTCCTCTGCTGCTCGCGTTCCTCGCGCCTCCTCTGCTGCTCGCGTTCCTCGTAACCGTATCGGCGGTCGTAACCGTATCGGCGGTCGTAACCGTCTCGGCGGTCGTAACCGTCTCGGCGGTCGTAACCGTCTCGGCGGTCGTAGCCGTCTCGGCGGTCGTAGCCGTATCGGCGGTCGTAACCGTCTCGGCGGTCGTATCTATCACGTTCTCTATGGTCGTAATGAGTCATTTTAGCTAATAGCTTAACCCCTTAAGTCAGAATTCAAAATACGTCGATAGAGGGCGTACGTCAGATTACAAAATACAAACGTATTTTACAATTTACCGAGCCGCACACTTTTTACACACGCCGTCGATCGTAACCTTACATCCCACGCCGCACACGTAACACGGGGATATCTTGCTGCCGTGCTTCATCCTATACATGTGGCTGGCGCAGTACCCCTTGAGGTGATCGGGCAGCGAGTCTTGTTCCCGATGGATAATCCTACGACACAGCTCGGTCGAACCCATCTTGAGATAACGACAGCCGTCTTCGCCCTCGGGACGTCGACTGGGTGATTGACGCCGTAAGAGTATCGCGTTGCTCACAACTTGTCCGCCGCATCTATAGCAGATATTGTGCAGTATAGTCTTGCAACCCCTGCCGCATCTTTCGCACGAAACCGTACCCCCTCCCCGCACGATTCTAAACTTATGACCGCGGCAATATCCGCGTAGATGCTCGGGCAGCGAGTCTTGATGCTTCAACGCCGCTTTTCCGCACGTTTCGGTAGAACCCATCCTGATCCAACGACAAGTATTTTGCGTCATTTTATTACAACGTGTTTTTCCCTTAATCCATTTTTTCATTTGGGCGGTAATTGCGTGTCGAAGGGAACGACCAACAATTCTTCTCGTACAAAACTCCTCGGTACTCCTCG